CCGGAAAGTTGCCGGTGCTTGCCGAAGAACCACCACCCGAACGGTGCGCGCCGGCCGGAAACTGACCACGCGAACACTATTGCCGGTTTTCCGGCAAAATAAGTTGCCGACGATTGACCACGCGAATTCGCCATAAGCTGCACTGGCTAGCTGCACTGTGCTTTATTCTGAAATCCTTTCTTTTTTTTCCTGGGGAAACGCGGAAGGGGGCGAAGGGGGGGGGGGGGGGGGGGCGGGGGTGTCTCCTTACGAGGGATTTGCAAGTCGCACTTGGACCAGCAAAAAGCCGCATGCGGCTCGCGAGTCGCGGTTTGGCCACCCCTGTCCTAGAGGCATATGAATCAGCCATCGAATGACCTCTTCGAAATGTCCAGTCGTTCTCAACACGATCATCACCAACTTTTCTCTCAGACACATCCGTTAAAAGACAATAAGCATTCTGTCACCTTGAAAACAAAAATTAAAAAAGACAAACTTTTACCCCTTTTTTTTTTCTTTGGCCACTCACGTTCACAATGCACGTAAAAAAATAGGCTTGGGAGTTACAATTTTTGTTTGTTTTGATTCTTATTGTTTCTTTTGGGATCCTCTTGATACATTAGGAAATATGTTCCGGTATTTCTGTGTTTGAAAAGTTTATTTTTACATTTATTTTATGTTCTACTAATCTCGTTTACAGGCGAGCAGTATTTCATAGACGACCCTTTCTTGGTACCGAACTGACCAGGCACGTAGCCAGGATTTTATTTCTTGGTACGGAACTGACCAGGCACGTAGCCAGGATTTTGTTTCGGGGAGGGGGGGGGGGGGCGGTTTTTACAAAATACCGTATGAGGGGGAGGGGGGCGGGCCCCATGGCCATGGCAGAAGGGGGGGGGGGAGGGGGGGCGGGCCCCATGGGCGCCCGCCCCCCTTCCCCCCCCCCCCTTCTGGCTACGTGCCGCCTGGAACTGACAGTTCCCCGATGTGCCTTCTGACAGACTTCATGACCAAACTAAAACGGAGTCAGACTATTTAGTTTATCATCTGACCTAAAGACAGCACCAATTCTAAACTTTTTGGCGCAGGTTTTTTCCCCCTAGAATGTAAGATATTTGATAAAAAAAAAAAAAAACTGAATCACTGCACCTTTTTTTTCTTTATCTCATTTACGTTCATCTGTAAAATGAAGTTCTAGTTGTCACAGTATGAAATCTTACCCAGCACTCTCCGGTCTATCCCATTGTCTTTTTACAGGGTGAATGATTCAATGAGTACATAAATTCCGTATAGATTTCATCAATAAAGTCTTGACCACTCCAGCTTTTACACATCTACACTATTTCTAGAAACCTGAAACAAATATTACGTGGTATCTAGGCATGCTCGAACGACTATGCACATCCTCCAGCATTGCATACATTTACATGAATGTTACCTTTTAATAAAACATCCTGTTTTATTGTTCTAACTGCTTACTCGTCAGAGAACACCGCTAGTTACTG